CTCCAGCCTGGGCAACAAAGTGAGACTCCAACTCAAAATAATAATAATAATAATAGTAATGAGACCTCGACTTAATAATAACCCCAAAGCACAAGAGTAGTGCTGCACAAGACTGGTGATGCTGTCATAGTGTTATAATTGTTGTATTTTATTATTACTTATTGTAGTTGATTTCTTACTGTGCCTAATTCATAAATTAAACTTTACTGTAGGTATGTATTATTAAAAATATAGTATGTAAAGAGTTCAGTACTACCCTCTAAAATACTGACTAACTGCAGATAATAAAGTGAAGAGGGAAACATTCCAGAGGCCATCTACAGGAAAAACCACAGTGATAGCAACGGAAGAGTAAAAAATGTTGGGTGCTGAGGATTTTTGGAGGCTCGACCCAGAGAATTTCCTGATGGATTGAATGTGGGAAATGAGTGAAAGAAGTCAAGAATGACTCTAAAAGCTGGGCTCGATGCTCAGCTTGTAATCCCAGCACTTTGGGAGGCTGAGGTGAGTGGATTGCCTGAGCCCACGGGTCTGAGACCCACCTGGGCAACTTGGCGAGACCTCATCTCTACATTAAATCAAAAAATTAGCCGGGCATGGTAGCGCGTGCCTGTAGTTCCAGCTACTTAGAAGGCTGAGGCGGAAGGATCGCCGGAGCCCAGCAGGTCGAGGCTGCGGTGGCCGGGAGCGGCCACTGCACTCCAGTCTGGGCAAGAGTGAGACTCCAACTCAAAAAAAAAAAAAAAAGTTTTTGGGGGTGGGGGGTACAACATCATTAAGAGTACCTGATCTCAAACCAGGCAAAGTAGGGATCAAAGGGAGGGCCAAACTTTACCTGTACAATGACCACTTGTATACCTAATCGTGAATTGTAACCCACATCTTTAAAATAAAATAAAACCAAAAAAACTTAAATTATAAAAAGTCATAAACTACCAAAACTCACTTCAATAAACTGAATCACTTATATCTATTTTTAAAAATTGAATTTGTAGCCGGGCTCAGTGGCTCAGCCTGTAATCCCTTGCCTTTGGGAGGCTGAGGTGAGTGGATTGCCTGAGCCCGCGGGTTCAAGACCCACCTGGGCAGCGAGACTTCATCTCTACAATAAATTTTTAAAAATCAGCCGGGCGTGGTAGCGCATGCCTGTAATTCCGGCTACTTGGAAGGCTGAGACGGAAGGATCGCCGGAGCCCAGCAGGTCAAGGCTGTGGTGACCGGGAGCGGCCACTGCACTCCAGTCTGGGCGACAGAGACTCCAACTCAAAAAAAAAAAATTGAATTTGTAGGCTGGATGCAGTGGCTTACACTTGTAATTCCAGCACTTTGGGAGGCCAAGACGAGAGGATTGCCTGAGCCCAGGGGTTCGAGACCAACCGGCAACTTGGCAAGACCTTGTCTTTAAAATAAATCAAAAAATGAGTGGGGCGTGGTGGCGGCGCATGCCTTGTAATTCCAGGTACTCAGAAAGCTGAGGCGGAAGGATCATCTGAGCCCAGCAGGTCAAGGCTGCAGTGAGCTGTGACCAAGCCACTACACTCTAGCCTGGGCGACAGAATGAGACACGGACTCAAAAATAATTTTTGAGTTTGTCGTTAACTTTCCCACTAAGAATACTCTATGCTTAGGTTAACTTCACTAATAAATCCTACCAAAAACTTATGAAAAGAAAGAGGAGAAGCCGGGCTCGGTGGCTCAGCCTGTAATCCGGTGCCTTTGGGAGGCTGAGGTGAGTGGATTGCCCGAACCCGCGGGTTCGAGACCCGCCTGGGCAGGCGAGACCTCATCTCTACAATAAATCAAAAAAATTAGCTGGGTGTGGTAGCACGCGCCTGTAGTTCCTGCTACTTGGAAGACTGAGGCAGAAGGATCGCTGGAGCCCAGCAGGTCGAAGCTGCGGTGGCCGGGAGCGGCCACTGCACTGCAGTATGGGCAACAGAGTGAGACTCCAACTCAAAAAAAAAAAAAGAAGAGGAAGAGGAGGAAGGAAGTAGGGGGAGAGAAATAATGAAAATTCTACACAAACTGTTCAGAAAATTGATGAAGTATGTCTTAGTTTGCTAGGGCTGCCACAACAAAGAACTACAGACTGGGTGACTTAAACAAAAAAATGTATTTATTTACAATTCTGGGAGTGCAACATCAAGGTATTGGCAGAGTTGGTTTCTTCTGAGGCCTGTGTCCATGGCTTGTAGGTAGCCATTTTCTCTGTCTTCACGTGGTCATCTTCTGTGCAAGTCTGTGTTCTAATTTCCTCTTTTTTGTTTGTTTGTTTGTTTTGTTTTGTTTTGAGTTGGAGTCTGAGTGTCACCCAGACTGGAGTGCAGTGGCCGCTCCCACCCACTGCAGCCTCGACCTTCTGGGCTCCGGCAATCCTTCTGCCTCAGCCTTCCAAGTAGCTGGAACTACAGGCGCAAACTACCATACCCAGCTAATTTTTAAAAAATTTATTGTAGAGATGAGGTCTCGCCAAGTTGCCCAGGTGGGTCT